AATAAAAAAAAAAAAAAAAAAAAAAAAAAAATAAAATTAGTCAGGCTTCTTCTCAGGATGCCAGCTGATGAGGGCTTGTTTGGCAAACCACTCCGTGGTGCAAACAAGTCTGAGCATTGCTGGGTCCCTCATGTGCATGATCCCAATATTTATTGTGTTGTGAATTAATGAATTAATAAAGAATTTTTTTTTTCTAGTAAATGATTGTATTTGTTTAATTTTCTACATATGACTTCTGCTTACAAAAGATTTCTTTTTTGATCTTAATGCTGTTTCTCTTGGTTGAGGTATATGTTAAGGACATGAAGTAGACAGACTCAGACCTTTTAATATGGAAACGTTGATATCTCTCTGTCTCTGATGTGTAAACTGAATAGCCATGGAGATTATTCCAGGCTGGATGACCTTCTTATTTTAAATTTAAATTAAGAGAACTTCTACACTTGGTAAGTATGGTTTCAAATACTCTCCTATTTATTCCAGCTAATGAGGTCTAACAGGTATTTTCACAGTCCATGTGTGTTGACATGCTTCTTGAAGACTCGTCAAGAGGAAACTCCCTTGAAATACAGTGCAGTCAGAGTATTATACAGGCCTAAACTATTTTACATTCGCTATTCACTTTGGGTTTTGAACTAGAACATGTAGTGGAGAAAATGTATTGTAGCAAAGCCAGTTAGTAGTTATGGGTACTGCTAAGTAGAAATGTTGGAAAATTAATTAGGAAATGACTAGCAAAATATATTTAAAAACTGTGAGAAACTTGTCTGTCAGAAAAGAAAGGGACTACATTGTTCGAATTTATCTCAATTTTCTTTTATTTCTTTAAATCCACTTATTTTGATGAGAAGTTCCCATGAAGTCAGGTGATGCTGAGCTTCTGAAACAAGGTAGTTTAATATTACCTCAGTATATGCCCTGGATTTGATGCTGAGAAGGAATATCGACTTTATTGTATTTAAAAGCACTGTTACTTCTGCATTTTTAATCTGTTTTAATTTCCTGGAATTTTTCATTGCAGGTTCTAACTAATTAGGGTAGCTAGGAACAGTGGCTAAAAAAGGGAATAAGGTAAGCATAATTCTTGATGGTTTTTTTCCTCCTTATTTTCATATACCACTTAATCCTGAAGCAAACAAGAATAACAGACAAGCACGTAGACAATAATCTTTATAAATTAGGAACTGAATATACTGCATTATTTATATTACACCTAATGATAGCTTGTTCTCAGTGCTAAGGTATTGTGTACAATGAAGTTTTGCCTTTTCCCATTTATGCATGCACTGGATGTTGTTATACCTACTGGAAAATGTTTCTACGGTTTAGATTATGCCAGACTAGGAGCTGGAAAAGATAATTCAGGACAGCAGATACACGTGGGGTTTTTTTAGTCGGTTGGGTTTTTTTGCTAGCACAGCTATTCTGATAAAAACATAGATGCCATAGTGCAATGTATTTCTAACTGAAACAGTTGCACATTGTACGGACTTTTGAGTTTGAAGGCTTCTCTTCAGAGGCTCATGCCTATCCAACAAAGTGCCAGTTTTGTGCCTGTATAAATTGCCATTTGTCTAAATCCCGGTGAAATCAATGTACTCAAAGTTAATGTTAGCCATTAATTTCAGTGGGATGCAAGTATGTGTCTTAAGTGCTTTGTTAAAGGGGAATCAATATAAGCATATGCCAAAATGTCTTTCATTATTACAGTTGGGGAACAGACTGCAATTATGATTCAAAACATAAAAGGTACAATAGACATCTATGATTAGGCAATGAAATATGCCTTTAATAAGCATAGTGCAGACAGTTTGTTTTGCAATAAGTAAACTTGTATAAAATTCATTGACTTTTTCATTCTTTCAGATCTGTGTGCTCTCTTTTAAGAGAGGTTTTTTAGTTTTATGCACAAAGTTTTCCTGATGTTCTTCCAGCAGAAAGGCTGGGTTTGCATGCATTTATTCTAGTGCCAAACTTGAACTTTACTGGGAAAAGAGGAAACAGCAGAGCAGACCTTTTTTTTTCCAGGGCAGCATGCAACAGATATGGTGTAATT